CATCAATAAGGGGCTGAGGGATTGCAGGCAGCCGGCCCAGCACGGCGTGCAGGGCTCCTGCAACCAGCAGTCATGTGTCAAACCCTGCACTGCTCCACACCACCAGGCTATTCCCAATCCCGGGCCACAGCCACAAAACGACACAGGCTTTCTTGTTTGTCTCTGCACGCCACATGTTTAGGCATCTTTAATATGTGTTTTTTCTGTTTGCAAACAGATTAATGAGAGAAATGGTTTAATTTTGTCTGCAGCTCACAGATGACCCTGCCCGATGCTTTGCAAGTGAAGCGCGTCTCGAGTAAGAGCTGCTTGAAATCTCTGCAGTGTAATAACGGACAGGACATGGTGTTTTCCATCCCCAGTCAAGGATTCACCTTCCTCAGCCATCCTGAAAATGTGCTGCAGAGCCCCAGTGCCCAGTGCCACTGTTCTGAGCCATAACACCGAGCTGGAAGAGAGCACTTGACAAGTTGGAGATGCCAATGCAATTAAGACAACATGATGCACCCTATGCAGACACTAATGGCCTTATTACAGCATTCATTAGACAATCAGACCAAAAAACAGCCCCATGTTGGCTTGTTCTGGGAAGATCTCCCTCTCTAAGGGCAAGTGAACAGGTCTCATGGAACCATTTCACTCCTCCCAGATGAGGGTGAAGGTGGGAGGGGGCACCACCTCTGCCCCCATGGACAGGGAGCCCCAGAGCGATGTGAGGGGATGATCTGAGGTGACCCCACATCTCAGCTGGGGACACTTGACAGAGGCAGGAGCACTTCCCCAGGGAGAGCTTCCTCCTGTGTCCAGTCAGCACCTCCAGTCCATCCTGTAGGATCTCACCATCCTCCAGCTCGTTGTCACTTGACCACAGGCAGCAGCTCATGTCCACATGCAGGAGCCTGGACAAATCTCTCCAGCCTTGGCACAACCACTTGGAAAAAGAAGGTTCAGCAATTTCACAGGGATTGTTTCTTTACTTGTTGATTTGACAGTTCTGGGATACTTGCAGGGGGAATGGGATGGGAAAACATAATAAACCTGGGACCTGCTGAGTTAACTCTGTCTAGAGAAAGAAGCAATATCACCAAATTTCCCACGAGAACCTGCAGTTCCTCTAGGAGTGATCCATTTCTTTCTCCTTCAGACACAGCAGTCCCTCCAGCAGAGGTGTGTTTCTGTTTGTGTCAGGCACCTCAAAGCAGGAGGAGTTGCGTTTTTAGGAGCCAGCCACGAACAGGAGCTGCTCAGCCAGCCCCTTGCACTCCTGCAGTGCCTCTTATCCACCAACCTCAAAGGCTTCCAGAGACTCACAAAGAGGGCAGGGAGAGCCAAGAGGCAGCTGGAGCTGGGGCTGTGGGCACACTGGGAAAGCAGAGCAGGGAGAGTAAGTACTGCTCTCAAATTCCAAGGGAAACATCAGCCATGAAAGCAGGACCCTGCGTGTCCTGGCCACGCTGCCTTCAGCCACCCTCACCATTCCCACTGCACCAACCACAGAGGCCTCAGAGACCCAGTTATTGCCAAAGGAAAACCAACCACACAACAAACCAAATCACCCATTTGTAAAGCAAACCAACCGAAAAACAGCCGGTGCATGACACACCCCCTTCTCCCCGTGGCAGATTTCCTCCCTAACACCGCTGGCACTTTTGGCTTTTGAAACATTAAACCTAAAACCAGTCAAAGTAGTTCATGTAACGGCACAACTGCCTTGTACCACCCACACGCACCCTCAGCACCACCAGGGAGCCACAATCCTGGTTTAAGACTCCAGTATTGCCGTGGCCAGAGGATTTATCAACTAATGGCATTAGCTGTATCTTTGCTTTACCACAGGCGCTGGGGGTCACGGCTCAGGATTTCAGCAGGGATGCAGCTGGCCAAATTCCTGATCCCAAAATCCAGGGCAAAGCATTTCAAATTGTAGGAGGACATGAACTATAAATACTGTGTCTTAAATCTGCGTGCCAGGGGCCAAAAGGGGCTGACAGAGCTTGGCATCATCCTCCCAGGGACAGAGGCAGAGGGTGGTCCTCCCTGACCTCTCGTTGGAGGGGGGTGGGCATTGTGTAATCACAACCTTGCTGCTGGGAGAACAAAGCACTGCAGTGGCTTTTCATGGAATACTGGCCAAGCCATCCCAAATTAGACATCTGCTCATTTCATCCTTGCGTGGATACCTGGAACACAGCCAGAAGTGACACTAAATCATGCTCTGGGTACTGGGCAGAGCTGTGCTCAGTTGTTTGATACCAACCAGGCAAAGGAAGGGAGGGATTGTGCTGCCCCTACATAAAAACCATGTCATGTCCCAAAGTTTGCTGCAGTGAAAGGTCATAAAATATTTTCTTTGTTATCAACCAGCTTCTGACCTCAGATACAGAAATGCAAATCCAGGGTGAGTCAACAGCACCCGGATGAGACACTTCACACAGAAACATCTGAAGGGAAGCAGAGCCTGGCTCTGGAGGGTGCAGGGAGCCAGTGTCTGCCTTGGCTGGACAGGAAACACAAAGGTGATGCCAAAGTAGGAGAAGCCACCAGGACTGAGAAGAACAGACAGTCTCAGATAACTCACAAAACCAGGTTTATCAGCTCATGACAACAAGAAAAAACAAACAGATAGAGCAGATTTTAATAAGTTGTTAAAGATCTCTTCTCTTTGTCTACCAACATCAGCAACAGAAAGAAAATTTAAACAGAAGTTCTTCTGTAATTTTACACAAAAGAATCCAGTACAGCTCTCAAGATTAATCCACTCTGTGACCATCACTCTCCAGAAAAATACCACGAATGGGAAGGTGACATGGACCATTGTAGAAGAGCTCCACAACAGGCTGAACAGCAGCACCACAGCCAGAGAAATGGCACAACATGCTGGTTCCTTCTTGGAATGAGGACAGTGATAAAGAAGAAGATATTTACTCACCTATGATGGTCTTCAGCAGTTGTTTACCTGCTCCTTTTGGGATCTGGAGTGTCCTTACCTTTGAGGCCCGTGGGAACAACTTTTCTTTTTTGCAACGGAGGAAATTCAGACACACAGAACTGAGACTGCCCAGAGGGACAAGTCTCTTGGAAAACAAAACATCACTGCAGCAGTTTCCAAATCAAAATTAGCACTTGCATCAAACATCCTTTTCTTTCCCTTTCTGTGTTAGTAATAAAGGAATAAGAGCTGGGGAAATATCCCCTGAAGGGTTATCTCCACAATAATTACTGAAGACAAATTGTAGCCTCTGGTAGTTTGCCCTGGGATGTATTTAACAGTATTTAGTTTGGTTATTTCCAGGAGTCCTTGACTTCCCTAAACTCCACAATTTTCTTTATTATTGTAAGAAAATACAGACAGGGACTATCACATACCCACACCTACATCTATATCTGTGTGAGAAACCAGGACACTTTCATGAGTAGAAGGGAAGTTACTGAGAGAATCCTAATTACTGAGATGACCCTGTGGCCACGAGGGTTCGAGGGTGAGGAAACAGCTCTTTTTATGGAAACATTTAACACAACAACAGGAATACAAATCAAGCTCCATTAATTTAGCTTTAAATTTTAATGAATCAGGATGTGTCATTTACATAAAGAAGGATTTACTTAATAAAATATTAATATTTTTTGCTAAAAGAACTGTAAATTGAAAGTTAATATAGGTTTCTTTAAATAGAACATCAGAAGTTGAAAAACACTGAAAGAGCAAATCAAATACAGTCAATCAAAATGAGCCAGAATCCAAAGAGAGCAAAATATTGTGTCCAGTCTCCAAGACTGGACTTTTGGTGACCCACATATTATTTAGTTAATTTAACAAAAAACCATAAAACATTACAAATGTGTTCTGCATTTGGTTACACCCCAAATGACAGTGTTTGGACCTACCTGGGCAGCCCAAGAGTGTGTCCCAGCTGCACAAAGAGCTCCATGGCTGGGGGGTCTCAGGTGTCCCCACAATTCATGGGTCTGACCCCCAAGTGCAGTGAGGGTGACGCTGGGTCCACGCTCAGCCACAGGGGCTGTGACCACTCCCTGTGTGCCAGGTATGTCCTGGCCACCTCTGGGGGGTGTGCTGGGGCTGGGCCATGGTCACACAGCCCTCCCTGTCACCCTGCACCCTGTTTGCAAAGGAAATCTGGCAGTAGAGGCAGAAAAGCAGCCATAACATACCAAGCATCCCTGGATGGAACCTTGACTGAGAGAGGAGAACCTCTTTCAACAAATAAACACTTCAGGAATAACCTTGCTCTTATTGAGGCTCTGTTGCTGAAGAGTCAAACTGAGCTGCAGACACTGGCTGTGGGTGTTCCTGACACCCCACAAGGAGCCAACAGCTCTAAGGTTAAACTGGCACCACTTCTCCACCAACTCCAGGCTCAAGCAACTTGCACAGAGTCAATCAAGAACCACGAACCCAGCTCTTGAGGCAGGTCACAGACCAGCTCTGTGTGGCTGAGGCTGACGTGGAGTCTCCGGCTTTCCCACCCACCACTCCTACTTTTTTCATCTGGAAAACATCAAAGTATCTTTGATCCCCTGCTCCTACGTGCTTGTGTTCCTTTAGGCATCATCACGGAAAGGCCATCTCATCCATATGGATTGAAAGTACCACCGGAAAAGTGAGTCACTCCAACAACATTTAGTTTCAGCTTTCCAAAAACGGGAAAAACTGAAGAGCATCTGCAAATGAAAGCCCTGTGGTTTCGAACTACAACAAATTATGGCTTCATTTTCCAAGTTGGCAACTGGGGACTTCAGACACACAAAAGTAATAAAATTTGCATGATCCTCTAATGTCTCTATTAGTCTGAGGAGCTTTGGTACTCAGGGTACAGGGAGAAGGTTGCAGGACAGACTAGAACAAGATAATGTGCGACAAAACCCCGTGATGCTGCTGTGAAGAAACAGTGAAGATCCCTCCTAAGTTTTTCAGGATGAAAAAAAGCATTTAGTGGCTATGGCTGACAAAAAGGAGCAAGGAGGGACTAAGGCAGACTCACGTTGAGCTGGAGGTCATCTGTCCACTGGCCCACGAGGCGGTAGCCCGGGGTGCTGGTGTTGGTGCTGTGGAACTGGAAGATGTCGTAGCGCCCTGGGGCGTCCCCGTTCTTGTTGAACATCACTGGAGTGCCAGCACTGCCTGGGGGAAGGAAACAAGACAAAATCCAACCAACCAACACCAAGTCTTTACGAGATCTGCTTTATTTAGTCACGGTTGAGAGTACTGAGACTGGAAACGTGTTTCAGGCAAAGGTCATCCACCAGCCCGGCCATTTAACAGGACACTTCAGGACACTGGCATCACCCCAGCCCTCTCCCAGATATCAGCTCTCACTGCTTAAACCTGCTGCCTAAAAATAAACAGAGCAAACTAGATGAGCCTTACCTCACTCTAGCTTTGCCCAACATAAGAAATATCAGAAGGCTTTTCTTGCTGCCCTCCAGCCTCCCTCCCATCTCTCTTTCCTCAGGGAGTTCTTCAGTGAAAATCACTCCTGTGAATGGAGCCTCTAAATGCTGCTTTTCACCCCCTCCCAGAAAATGTTCCATCTGCTTCTGTGAGATAGTGCTGTCAGGAGTCAGCCCAGGTCTGGTGAGTCTTGACTGGCATCCAGAAATAGCTTCCTCCTCCACAGTATGTTCTCATTCCCGCAATCACCGTGTGCTTGGGGTGGAACAGAGCAGACTAAGCTTTAGGAAGACTGTTCCTTGTGTACTCCCTTATTTAGGCTCTCTGACACTGACACAGAAGTGTCTCAGTGGGAGCAGAGCAGGATCCTGAATTGACTTTATTTGCTGTGGACTCAGGCGATGAACATGGGTCAGGAAGTGCAGGACCAGGGACAAGACAAGGAAAGCCCCAGCCCTCCCTCTGTGCCTGGTGCTGAGCAAAGCCTGAGGGTGCAGAGATGTCTGAGCCCTGGGACAGACCATCCCTGATCCTCGGGAGAGTTCTCAGATCCCTGAGCCTCAAGAGAGTTCTCACCACGACATCTGCATTTTAATTACCACGGCATTAGATGTGAACCTTTTCTGAGATGAGAATTCAAAGCAGTGCTGCATTTCCTCAGATCTCCAGGAGCAACCTTCAAGGGTGACATTTATTTCAAGACATATTAAAATAGGTTTCAGTAGGGAAGAGCAATATTGTGTCAAGATTGAAGATTATGACAATCCTCCAGCATATCTATATTCAAAGCTTCCTCCTCCTGCGTAACTTCTTTTCCCTAAAGCAATGAAAAATCTCTCCTGTTGTAGCATTGAACTTTAAGATTACTGTTTTCTTCATGATTCCCATTCTTCATTGAATTCCAGTGAGTGAAAAAAACGTTTGGAGGAGTGAATTAGCACAGTCTCCATTCTAGCCCTGGTAAATGGTTTCCTGTCTCTCCTACAATCCTCTGACATCAGAACAAATTCAGTTCAAAGGCTGGTACAGAAAATCTTGCACTGAAATCTCTGCTCACTGGTTCCTTATGAGCACCAGGCAGATATTTAATTGTCATTACAGATTCATGTAGCCAGAATGCATTTAGAGTGAAAACACTTAGAGTGAATCAGAAGCTATGGCTGTAATTCCTTGGCTCCCTGGGAAAGTCAGCACAAGAGGTAAATGGGATTTAGCTAATCACAACTCTTAAGGCTGGTATTATCAGTTAAGCTTGGTTTTGTCAGAGCTGACAAAAAAGGTACCATTGAAATGGCAGGAGCTCAAGTGAGGCTCCCAAAATGCAACAGAGACATTTGTGGATTCCCCACATCCTGACAAGGTCCCAGGACACGAAGCAGGGTCCGTGTCTGCTGGTCAGGAGGCACATGGAGAATGGGCTCCATTGTCCAGGCCACCCAGAGTCAAGGGTGCTGAGACAAAACCTGAGGGGAAGCAGCCAAGAGCACTCCTGGGCTCACCTTCCTGGGAATGTCACCCAGAGCCCTCCTGGCTAAGCCATTCCAAACAATCCCTAAGGATGCCCTTGGGTGTGCCAGGGCTGCAGGCTCGGCCCAGCACAGTCTGATGGTCCAGAGTCCCCCGAGGGACATGGGCACAGGGGCTGGGCAGTGAGCAGGGAACACCTGCTGCTGTTTTCAGGTACTTCACCATTTGACTGCTAAAATTATACAGAGAAAAGCCGTGAGAAGCCTGGGATCTGTTGGGAAGTCAAGTATCCAAAGGGAATGGGAAGGACTGGTAACCCCGAGTCAGGAGTCAGGCACAAGAGTCCCCTCTCCTGACTTTGAAGTTGGAGTAATTGGACTCCCAGCCACAGATCTGCTTAGGAAGTGCAAGCCCTCCTTAACCCCAGGCCAGGTACAGGCTCTGCTCTCCTTTTGTGCCTCCTGCCTGTGGGGACCCAGCAGCCCTGCTTTGATCCCTGCAGCATTCCAGCCTCCACACACAGCTCAGGCTGCTTTGATGAAACAATGAAAATAATATAATGTGATGTAGGAAAACCTCATCGCAGAGGGGAACCAGGGTTTTCACAAATGACCCTACTTGTTCTTTGACTTCTTGATCTTCTAATCTTGAAAACATGTGGTTGTTTCACTGGTTTTTGATCTTCTAGAATTTATATTCTTTCTATTAAGATTTCCCAGAATTTTTCTCAGCCCCAGCAAGTGCTTCAGGAGTGTCAGCCTTGAGGCTGCAGCTTCCTGCCCATGCAGAGGCCATGAAAATTCCCTTCAACTCCCAGCAAACGAGCTGCCTTGTCCCCACACAGACACAGGGTACACCTGCAGGAAGCACTCAAGACCAGACACAGTCTGACTGAAGTTGCAGGATTTCAATCTCTTAATCATTGCAAGATGAGAAAGTGATTAATGAGAGGAGGACAGGGTGCTAGACAGGTGTCACCAGCCAAGGTGTTTATCACTCAGTTCATGTGCACAGCAGTTTGAAGACCCAAAGGGCTCCTATGAACAGAATCTTCAGCTTTTCACTGGCAAAAATACAATTACACTTTGATACTTTCAGACTCTCTCTGCTTGAACGCTTGAGGTTTGAAGTTTTCCATACTTTGGGCCCTTTGTTCTCGAGGTAGTGTGACAATAGCAAAATGCACACTGAGCTCCTCACACAAATCCAGCCTCTCTCCATCAAAGCGTGGCTTCAGCTCTTCCTGCATTATCCTTGCAAGGGAGAAAAGACTCCAAAGCAGGCACAGGCAGGATGATCTCAAGTGCACAGTGCCAAGGAGATCCATTACATGCAGAGAGGATCTCAGGCTCAGGGTGCTTGAAAACAGGCTACGCTTTTTCTCTCCTCACACAGCCTGGACAAAGCGCTCCCACTGCTCCACTTTCTGTTCTTACCAAAACTCAGGTGGAAAACGGGGAGAACAGGATTTCACACACAGGCTAAATTTGCTTTCCAAGTCCCAACCTTCCTGAGGAGTTGGAGCCCTGCACTGGTGACTCAGAAGGGCAGGTTAAGACCAAGATTAAACCCAGGGAGCTGACAAAGCCCAGCTGCCCCCTCCTCTGTGCCAGCCCTCCCAGCCATGACACAATGGCTGAGGGACACAGGGGCACCATCACCCCTGTCCCAGGAGCTCCAACATGTTATCCACAGGGATAACCAGTTCTTGGAGCTGGACACCAGACAACATTAAGTGGACACCCAGTTCCTCATAAATTACGTCTCAGCTCTGTTGAAATGATGAGATGAATATTCAGCATCTTTATATGCAAGAAATATCCAGAGACAACCCCGTCCTTCCAGCACTGCAATGCCCAGGTGTGGTCCTGCACATGGAGGCTGTGCTGCCACAGGAGCTCTGTCCTTCACAGTTAACCTTCCCAAATGAGGCAAGAGAACTCTGCAGACCTCCTCGGATCATTCATCTCCAAACTTGCTCCTGGCTGTAGTTAACATCCCTTCAAGGAAAGGAATTAAAATCTCCTCATGTTCACCTTGCTCTTTATAAGATGATTTATACAGGAATGAAAAATATCCTTGGCACAACAGACCAAGCTTGACCACAGAATAGCATCTGTGTTCCCCCCTTTAAAGCTCTCGGGTCCTATTGGCTTTGTGTGGGTTTTGTTAAGTTTATTAATAAAAATATTTATTAGGAGATGGTGGGAGGGGAGCTCTGGCTGTGATGCCCAACGAGGGCGTGCAGCTTATGCAAACCCTCCTCCCCAGGCAGCAGCAGCCCTGCCTCCCACACTTCAAAAGGATATTTTTCTCAGTACTTTCCTAAATCTGTTTTAAATATGGATTTGGAGGTCTACCTTCTGGCTCCTGGTTAAATCTCAGCTCTCTATCTCCTGCAGAGCCAGAGTGAGAGCAGCCAGACCTCCTGGGAAGTCCATTAGCAGGTTTATGAAGGAGAAATACCATTCCCTGCTGGAAACGACCCGCTCCGGGGCCTCGGAGCTGGTGGCAAGTGGGTGTTCGTTAATGAAACTAATAAAATTACAGGAAAACATACAGAGGCAAGGAAACTGTGTTAATATTTAGGCCTGATTTATACAGTGCAATGCAGGGGAAGTACACGACAGCCCGTTGTGCTGCCTGGAACAGGGGGTTGGTGCTGCAACCAGTGTGGCCACTCCTGGGCAGCACAGGGGGATAAAGTGATAAGGGAGGAAGAGGTAAAGTGCTGTCAGGATGGCTCATCTCCTCTGAAATCTTACTAGAGCAATGAAGGCTGGAGTAACTACTCTGTTCACTCACACAGTTCTAGCTTCCCAGGTGGACCTGGCTTCCCTTCAGCTCTGCTCTGCCTTCCCCTGAGCACACACCTAAGGTGGGCTTTGGGTACCAGAATTTCAGCCAGTTAATTTTCTCCATGTACAGGAAACAATGGAAAGACAACAAACTGACGTGTGATGGTAACAACCTTCTAGGGCTTCAGGAACCACACTGAGCCAGAGACAAGCTCAGGCTTTTCCCCAGTGATTTCTCCCGTTGGAAATCAGGCTTCTGGAAGGGGTGCTAAACCAGCAGCAGCCATTCCTGTCTCTGGGCAGCAGCAGCCTTATTGCCTTGGCTAAAACATGGTATTTTCAAAGAGATGCTAAACAAACATGGTCTTGTGCCATGACAGTAAAAAAGCCTTGATTTGGGTTGAACACAAAAACACACGACGTGGAATGAACTGAGGAGGCCGTGGGGGTCAGGGTGGCAGTGGGGTCGGAGTGGCTGTGGGGTCGGAGTGGCTGTGGGGTCGGGGTGGCTGTGGGGTCGGGGTGGCTGTGGGGTCGGGGGGGCTGTGGGGTCGGGGGGGCTGTGGGGTTGGGGTGGCTGTGGGGTCGGGGTGGCTGTGGGGTCGGGGTGGCTGTGGGGTCGGAGTGGCTGTGGGGTCGGGGTGGCTGTGGGGTCGGGGTGGCTGTGGGGTCTGAGTGGCTGTGGGGTCGGGGTGGCTGTGGGGTCGGAGTGGCTGTGGGGTCGGGGTGGTTGTGGGCTCTGGTCTCACAGGCAGTGTGTTCAGCGGGCAGAGGCCCCGGTGGGTGTGAGGGGCTCCGTGCTCACCGTTGAAGTTCACGCTGCGGATGTACTTGAGCAGCTTCTTGCCCCCCGCGTGCTCCATGTCGGGGCAGAGCCCGGCGCCGTCGGCGCACAGGTCGCGGCTCATGTGGTGCAGGGCGTGGGCCATGGCGTACACGGCGTCGATGACGAACTGCACCTTCCCCTCCTGCTCGTACGGGGAGTCCTTCCCGATGCGCTCCTGCCCTGGGGACACACGGACACAGTGAGGAGCAGTGCCCGCCCCAGAGCGAACACCCAACCCTCCTGGAGCACACTGAAACTGCCTTTAATCGATACAATAAAACGTTCTGAGTTAGGGGTTTACTAATTAAAACATAAACAAACCTCTTTGATTGCTGCCAGAACCATTGACACCTCTTGCAAGTTGTTCTACATAATCCAGACAAACAAATCCTGCCACGATCACCAACTTGAAGCCCTAATCTACAGGGACCACCTTAGAGAGAGAAAGCTCCAGGCTCTGAAAATTCCCGAACCCTGGCTTTGAAATGGGAAAATATCTGAAATAGCACAGCTGGTATTTAAAGTCTGATGTTTTGTTCTGCTGCAAATCCCAGACTCTAATTGAAAGTTGGAGCCAGATTGAGGGAATAAAGTGTCACTTCAGAGATGCCACCAAAGGGGTGCTCTGGGGAATCGAGGAACACGAGGGCACTAACAGCACCTCGGGAAGTTCCGAGTGTTGGCATCAACTATCACCCTCTGCTCCCTGGCCTGCAGAGCCTGAAATGTCCTGCAGAACCCCCTGACTGCTTCTAAAATATTTTAGCAGGAGAGCCCTCAAGGAATCCAGGAGTTAATGCCAGCCCAGGCACAGGGGGGGAAGCAGCGCTGGGGAAGGGTGGAAATCATTCCTTGGGTGTGCAGGAACCACAAACCCTGGGAGCTGCTCAGCCCACGGGGCAAGGCATGAGAAACTGAGAGCAGGGAGGGGTTCTGTACATGGAAAATCAGAACTTCAATCACACACAGGCTGAAGAGCTCCAGAACAGTGACAAAATAAGTGAATCCAAATATCCGAAGTGGAAGGCTCGGGCCTTAACCATTCTCCCACCCTCAGGCTCAGGATGGAGGTGTAGCCTGGTGATGTGGCCTTAGCCCAAGGCACTGAGGTGGCCTTCCTACCTTTCTGGTGCCCTGAACAGGTGACTGGGTGCTCTGCAATTAGGCAGCAAACCAAACAGTGTTTCCAGAGCTCGCAGCGACACACCCCGGGCTGTGAACGGGGAATCTTTGATTCATCTCCTTTCCCCCAAAATTGCCCACTGACTCCCTGCTGCTCCCTGTCCAAGTAACACCTGCTGGATTCAGTCTGTGCAGCTGCAAACTGTGATCACACTGACCCATCTCACCAGGGATTCATGGAATGGAACTGCTGCTGGGGAGTGGCCTGAGCTGCAGCCACGAGGCACCACAAGTACAAGGGTGGCAACACCACATCCCATGTTCTGCCTGCATTATCCCACTTTTCTAACCTCACATTGGGTCTTGCTCATCTTCCTGCAGTACCTACAGGGCTGGGAGCTGCCAGGAGCTCCAAGGAACCAGACCTTGGAATCATCCCTTGCAAATATTTCAGACGTTCAGTCAAAGTAAATGTTCCAAAGTGTTGGAGTGGCAAAAATTCCTTTGTTAATACCCTTAATTAGAAACAGGATTGAGTGAATTTAAATTAGCTGATACCAATGAGGAAAGGAAATCAAGCTGTTAATGACGGTGAGAACTAATGATTTAATAGAGGCAAGAAGTCCATTTTCCTGTTGCTGCTCAACTGGCAGGTTTGGATCTCTCCCTCCTGCTCTAACCAACAGCAGCTTTACCAGCACCAGCCCCACCACCTTCCCCCCCAGCAGAGCAGGGTCTGCAATAACCCCCCAGCAGGGACAGCCCAGGGGTGCTGTCCTGGCTCAGCCCCCAGGCTGGATCATTCTCCACCCAGCCTGTGAGCAAAGGCTTCCAGTTTTGTTTTCAGCTCGCGAGAAAAAGGCAGTCCCAAAAAAATCCCTTTTTTTTTTTTTCTTTGAGTGAAGAGGCAGCAGACCAGAATTCCAAATAAGCACAGAGAGAGAAGAACAGAAATTCTACAAACACGAAGAATCATGGAGTTGGTGAGGTTGGAAAAGCCCTGTAAGATCACCAAGTCCAACTGTTTCCCCAGCACTGCCAAGGCCAGCACTGAACCAGATGTCCAAATATATCCACGAAAGAGATTTACTTGAATACAAGCAAAGAGACACCCCCCCTATATGAACATCGATAATTATCTACATTTCCTTCTTCCTGGGTTCCCTCTGTATCACCAAACTGCACCCCTGATGTCTGAGCTGCTCAACCTACAGGAGAGCTGGAGGGGGACTTTGGACAAGGGCCTGCAGTGACAGGACAAGGGGCAATGGATAGATATTAGGAAGAAATTCTTCCCTGTGAGGGTGGGAAGGCCCTGGCACAGGTTGCCCAGAGAAGCTGTGGCTGCCCCATCCCTGGAAGTGTCCAAGGCCAGGTTGGAGCAACCTGGGCTAGAGGAAGGTGTCCCTGCCCATGGCAGGGGGTGGCACTGGATGGGCTTTGAGGTCCCTTCCAACCCAACCATTCTGGGATTCCATGATTGTGGTTGAAAGACTCTTTACCAAAACCCCTCGGTTTTAAATCTCAGCTACTCTGGAAACACCGAAATCCTGCAAATAATTCAGCAGAAAAAGCAAGTTTCCAGACTGTGAAGTTCCACAAGTCCTTTTCATTATTTCACTCCCCTCTCATTGATTACAGAATTTATCACATTTTCAAGCCCTGACAAGGAAAATGCTTTTAAGTGGTTTCAGTCCAGCTCTGTAACCAAATTAGCAATGCACCAGGAGTGGGTGCCAGGGGAAGTGGAGCTGGGACTGAAATGCTGCACACAAACAATACTGATAAGGCAGAGCATGTTCCAGAAGCACAGCTGGCCAAACACACAGCAGGAAGAAAAGCCTTAGCAGTGAAATATCTGAGAGGAACCTGAGCAAAACCCACTTAAAGAAACCCAAGAGCAATGTAACAGTGTCCAAGTATGAAAATTTAAAATCTTAATGGAATTTCCACGAACAACAACAGTTTCCTGTGCTGAAACAGCCATTTAGTTGAGTATTAAACATCCAGAATTGTGCACAATAAATCCAGGTGTGGAGTCAAATGCAGCTGCTCATCCAAAAACATGCATGAATTTGTCCAATTGGGAATGTGCTGTCCTTCACCCAAACACGGGCTGAGTTACCTTTCAAAGACATTTTGTTGCAATTACAAGTTTAACCCAAATCTGAACTTGCAAAGAACCCGCAAAGCAAATGCCATGTTTTACATATGTCAAATAGTCTTCAGACTATATAAAAAGAATTCAAAGTATCCCAATTAAAGGGCCTGGCTGAGCAGAGTGTTCCCTCTAGTTTATATCAACCTACCACTGTAGTAACTAGTGAGCAAAACAGGCCCAATGTCCATTTTCAGGCAGGGACAAACCAAAGTGATTGGCACAATTTTAATTCCAACTTCAACATTATTGTGGGAAATATTTCCCCCTCTTAGGCTGAGCTGAAGAAGCTTAAGCAGAAAGTTTTCCACAGGTTTCAGGAATAGCACCTGTATAATGGGAGTATAGAAGTTCAATTATTAATTATTCCTGGAAGAGAAGGAATGTTGCCAAAGCCATTAACTTCCTACAGACAAAAGCAGCAGGGGTGGTGCTGTGAGTGCTTCCTGGCAAAGGGGCAGGAGTGAAACCCCAGCACAGACAGGTCAGGACACCGGGGGGGTCTCAGGGAATGAAACTCAGTGCAAGAGAAGAACCAATTGATGAACTCGGGTGTTGGGAGCATCAAGAAACCACTGGACCCTCCGTGCTGCCAGAAGACATCAAAAGCATGGAAAGTAAATATAAACCCCATTTGCACCATCTTCTGCTCTTTTTACATGCTCCTGGTTGTTTTTTTTTCTTGGCTTTTTTTAACTTGGAGATCTCCAGGAGCCACACAACAGCATTATTTCCTTCAGCAGTGAAGCAGCTGACACCTGCACACAACGTGGTTTCAAGAGAGCTTCTGTCCCATGGTTGGAAATGGAGTAGCTTGGGATGTCAGGAGAAGGATCAAACACAACAGCAATTTATTGACATAAGCATCTTCTGCTTCCAAAGGATCTATTTGAAGGTGATGACAAATAATGTAACTCCCTTCCTACTCGAGTCTCAAGTGCTCATCATCCTGATTCCCGAGAGACGGAGCAGCCGGGGCCCTGCTGCATCTTCACAAGAGAAAGACACTGCAACAAGAAGAGGGAAAAAAAGGCCCAAATCCAGAGTGGTGAGAACACAGAGAGAGGGAACTCCTCTTGTCCCATCTCCTTCAGATGACAGAAGTGAAATGCAGGTTTAAGAACTCCCGGTCACACCTCCTGCGTCTCCACGAAGGCGACACTCGACACCTCCCAGCGCGGGAGAGCAGCGACACATCGCTCTTCACCCTCCACGTGCCTCCTGCAGCTGATCTGTGTGGACTCATTGTTGTGATCACATGCCATAGGGGACGTGTTATGATGAATAAATAGTATCGCCAGGACAATTTTTGTGGCATATAATTTGCCCAGACAGACATCAAAATCTCACTCCGTCGGTGCTCACACGAGAGGAATTCAGACACCGGTGCAGTTTCTGAAGGATTAAACACATTTTCAAAGGGTCTCACACAATAGTGCTTCTGGGAACCTGGTGATAGTCATCATTAAGAGGAGATTTAATTTAAAGATTGTGGAATGCTCACAGTTTCAAACAGGCAGAGATTATAAGTTGGAATTCAGCAGCTGGTTAAGTGCTGACAGAAAAATATCTGCTCTTCATCCATCTCCATCTCCAGAGTGTTCAGCACCGTCACAAACCCGGTGCCTCTGAGCACAGACACGTCCACGGTGCCACAGGTACAATTCTCAGTCTCTGACTGAGTGCCCACATCTGCCTTTGAGAACAGCACCCAAACCTCCTCCAGGGCAGAGCCTGTGCAGCTGCTCGTGGACTCTACAGCCCCAACAGGAGTTCCTGCAGCCAGGGCTCTACAAACATGATCACAGCTACTCCTTGGTGCTCACTCCTGGTACAGGCACTGCACACACAGGAGGGGTAAAGTCTGAAGGCTTCTCCAAATAAGCTCTTTATGTGAAAGTAGCTGAGAACCAGAGCTTGAGGACAACTAACAATATGCCAGAGTAAATATTGTAATTTCAAGGAGCAGAGTGGGACAATGAGGCCTCTTTGGAACATAATCCCTGTATTGTCATGTGACAAAGAACTCCAGGATCCAACACCAGCCCTGCAGTGACAGAGCCCACCCGGCCCAGCCCCAGCCAGATCACCTCATTACACACAAAAGCCTTTATCTCAACACCATCAACCTGATCCCCTGAGATTTTCTGAAGAAAAGCAGATGAACCTTCAAGTTTCTACTTGAGAACAGTGAGAACACTTGGGTGTGGAGGTGAGCTCTGACCCCTGCCTGGGCTCAGGAGCTCTGCTGCTGTCAGAGCTGAGGCCTGGAGCTGCACCTTGCTGCAGTGCAAAGCACCAATCAGACCCCAAAATAATGATGGCCATCAGTCATAACATCATCCCAGCAGTGGGACATTCTGACTCTTCACACTGCCAATATCACTCACAGTTAATGCTTTTTCTGATGCCCAATTTCCTTCAGTTTGGAGAGGAGGGAAGGGAGGTGTCAGGGCTTGTCATTTGGGACAAGCAGCCTTTCAGCTCGACAGGGTAAGCTGGTCACCAAAACCAGATGTTTTGCCCAAAATACACTGAGGGAAAGAAGAACAACATTTACAGCCACATCAGACAACGTGGGCTGTGAGCAACTGTAATGAACCATGGCACGAACAGTAAGGGGCATCAGGCACTTCCAGAAATCATCCTAAAGATCTTGGAGCAATGTAGTCAGATTCCAGCCTTCTGGGGAGACTCCAAATGCCAAATTTAAGAGCAGTGTGTTCCCAGTGGGAGCTGCACTGTTTGTGTGCTCGACACTCCCACTCCCCCCGGGAGCTGGAACCAAAAGCAGATGAGATGAAGGATGGGGAGTTACCATCAATTTTCAATCAAAGTAAAACAAATCCTCCTATGAACCAATTCCCTTTGATCAAAATTCAAGGCAATCATTTAACATAACACATTTCAAGTGCTGCCGTGAAGAATTTAAAGGAGAGGGAAGGAAAGGGCCGGGCAGGGCACTCGTCTGGCGGCACCACTGGCTGTGCCCTGGGTGTCACAGGAGGGACCTTCTGCCCAAAGCTTCTCCACACATTTCAGTCATAGAAACAGGGAATCCTGGAATGGCTTGGATTGGAAGAGACCTTAAAACCATCTCATTCCAACCCCTCTGCCATGGACGGGGACACCTCCCACTAGCCCGGGTTGCTCCAAGCCCTGTCCAACCTGGTCCTGGACACTTCCAGGGATGGGGCAGCCACAGTTTCTCTGGGCAACCTGTGCCAGGGCCTCACCACCCTCCCAGCCAAGAAATTCCTCCTAAATTGTTGTGAAAGATTCTCCATCTAAAACAAACTAACAAAACACCCTCCAGCCACCCTGAACTCAAACGAAAGTACTTCTGGGTCCCATGGAAAACATTCCTTTTCCTGCTGGATGGACAGTCTGAAACAGGAAAAAATAAAAGAATGTAAGGTTTGACTCTTTCCATCTACTTCTCTTGTAGCCTCTATTTCTCTGTAAGGCTGATGCTGCTGTTCCAGTTTCTCTACAATCTACAAAAAAGCAATTTATTTTCCCCTCCCTCCCCAGCCAAGCCTTCTTCCTCCAGTTATTGCACTGCTGCCCACCCTGCAGCACGAGGAGGGGAAGGGATGAGTTACCTGTGCATTTCCTGTCCGTGTCTTCCTTCTTTGAGCCAGTGATGGTCAACTTGCAGTTGAAGTTCTCCTCCCAGTACTCTGCAAACCACACGTTCCTCCTGTTGTTCTCCAGGGTGCGGGAGGTAAAATAGGCATCGAATCCTGGGGAAGGAGAGAGGGGAGAGCTCAGGTTTGGCTCGGGCTGCAGCCTGAAAAACAAACCCTCTGGTTGTATCTCCCTCAACACCCAGCACGTGCCACGTCTCTGTCCATGTGAGATGGCCCTGGAGAGAAAGAAAATCCACTGAGCATGTTCTTATCAGCTGCATCTTGCAGGGAAGTTACTCTGTTTCTGACTGCCAGGTACAAAACCGGGTAAGATAAATGTGAAACAAGATTAATATAGATAAGAGTTATAAGGAAAATAGCATGGAATAGATACACACCAATGAGGAAGGAAAATAAATCATATGGTGCAGTTGTGCCTCTCTATCGCATCATCACAGGGGTCCTTTGGGGTTTGCAGTCAGAAATGGCTGTAAATGCATATTCCATTGAAAGAGGGAAGAAGTTCCTGCCACTGTAGTCAATGACTTCCCTCAGTGCCATAGGTGGGCAGAGTGACACAAGCTGGCACAGCACACGATGGAACTGAGCCGGAGGAAAACCATCTGGCATCAGTAAATGAGCACAGCACTCCTCCCCTGGGCATAAAAATAGACAGCACAAACCCAGATGTTTTAAAAGGGGAAAGGGGATCCAGAACGGGGTCAATCCATCTCCTCCTGTCAGCTTTGTGTGCCACTGACCCAGCCATAACATGTATTTTCCTAGTGCTGAGTCTGCTGTTCACCAATCGCATCCCAACCTACCTCATCTCCCAAAATCAAACCAGGAAAATCAGTACTGGGGCCTTCCAGTAACAGGCTGAAAGCAAATTAACATTTTACCTGCAGCCTCCATAGTAAATGATACAGTTTATTAAATTAAAAGTAGGGTTCTTCCAACCCAAACCAGTCTGTCATTCCACGATTACCATTTCTTGGATAAAATATCCTAAGGAAAATATTCATGGTCAGATGGGTCAGAAGAACATTTGGAAAATCACCAGGTTTTAAGAGCATACAACCTAAACCTTTTTTTTCCTGCAAACCTGTGTGTAATAGTTTTACTCATAATTAAACGAGCATTTCAAAGGGGATATTCAGTCATAAGATCTACAACATACAAATGGCTCAGAAAGAGAAACAGGGAACCTTTCCCATGTGCCAAAGCCACTGACCTCTGGGAAAAGGGCTCTGTAACTTAATAAGGTAAAATCAATGAGTCTTGATAAAACTGTAATAAAATTCCATATGAATTACTCTAAGCCTTTACAGATTTAATAACAAATAACAACATTCCCATTGATTGCTTTAGTGATCCCTCTGCATTCACAAGGAGGAATATGGATCCCACTACAGAGGGAACAGGTTTTACCATTATTTCCTATTGATCAGGACAAGGAGATGAGTGAGTGACAATGGGACAGTTCAGAGCTGGACAAATTTCTGTGAATTCCTCTCTGTGTGGGAATACTGTGCCCCCTCCATCCTGGCTGTGCTGCAGGTCCCAGCACTGCTGCTCCCACAGAGCCAAGGTCCTGGGGAAGAACTCTAAAGGCATCCCCTTGGTGAACTGCCCTCCTTCCCAACATCTTAGGGCCAAGAATCCCAGATTGGTTTGGGTTGGGAGGGACCTTAAAGCTCATCCAATCCCACCCCCTGCCACGGGCAGGGACACCTCCCACTAGCCCAGGTTGCTCCAAGCCCCGTCCAACCTGGCCTTGGACACTTCCAGGGATGGGGCAGCCACAGCCCTGAAACCCCTCCCCAGGCAGGACTATTCCTACACCTCCCACAGTCCTGCAAACACCAGTGGTCCCGTCTGTGCCCGTGGGTTTGAGGCAGAGGAACACCTCAAATGCATCTCTAATTTTAGATATCTTTTGGAAAGAACATGATTCATAAACACTCAGGTTGGAACACAGGCAAACGTTCTCTGCAGCAACAACTGACTTAAGCCTGTGCTTAATCTTAATCTTTCTGAACTGACGACATTAAGACAACTTACACACAGAGTGCTAAATATCAGAGTTCTGGGTTCAGAGTCTCACAGGGAATTAGATGACCCAGCCAAAAAATCTGGATGCTTTAATGCAAAGTAGGAATAATCTCTTCTTACCCCTGTACACGGCCGAGTATTTCACTGGTGTGACAAGATTTACTGATTCCCCAATGTTCTCCATATTTCATACTTTAGCAAATTACTTTTTCAGCAAATACATCTAAGAGATATAGATAGTTCTTTTATGAGATTTTCCAAATTAAAATGAATCTCTTATTACTTCAAATCACCATGATTTGATTAAATCATTATTTTTACACATAGAGAGATGATATTGCCTAATGGGTTCATTTATCTCCCACCACAGGATAAATATGTACATGAGCTCCATAGTGATGAAACAGACTGAAAGGAAAAAAAAAGGAGGAGCATGGAGGGGGGAGAAGGGGAAAGGGCCCCGATCCCAAGCCCTGGGGAGGGGCTGGGGAAGTCCAGGCAAGGGACAAGTGCCCTTGGTTGGTTTCCCACTATCTCAGGGGGTGCCATCCCCTTTGGTCAGGACAGGAGGGATCAGCAGTGCTTAAGGGATTGAAAACAAAAATTCCTGGGGGGAGATGGGAATGCCTCACCCCCAGCTGGCTGGAGTCAGGTCACATTTGGTCTGGGTGTTCTATCCTACATTCACAGTCAGTTGTCTGGGCATGCAGTGCCAGCACCCAGCCCTGCCCAGGGGACATTCCCAGCCCTCCACACCCTGAAATGCCTCTCAGGTCCTCCCAGACCGGGAATCACTGAGGAGGAAGGATGTTACAGCCCTGCAGAGCTGGGAATGCTTAGAGGAGCATGTCCATTATCAACCAGAAAGTAAGACTTGCTGACGTGGGGTTGCTATTTATCCCCCCTCCAAGAAAACAGAAAGACCCAAATGATTTATTTCTCACGTTAATCCTGCATCTCTCCTTCCATTTGATGCCCATTTTCTGGCTGCAGGCGTCAGGCTCAGCTCCCTGGCAGAGGGGCCCAGGGAATTGGACGTGCTGGGGAGGCTGAGCCAGGGCCAGCACTAAGGAGGGGTTTGCAGGGGAAAAGGGAGCCTGGCAGGAGGGATTTGTGCTGGGGAAAGTTCAGAAACACATCTCCAGGGAAAGGACAGGCTGCAGGAGAGAGGTGGCTGCACAGCACAGCAAGGGGCCCCCCAGAAAAGAATAGTGACCTGGGAAAATAAAGATCAAAACAGGGGCTCCAAGGCTGAACCAGCCCCAGTGAAACAGCAGCAGCCAAGGGACACTCCCAGGATCTCCAGGAGGAACAGCAGGGAGGGGCTGATGGAGAGCCACGAGGCCAACGTGCCCTTGGCATGGATGGAGCAGGGACTTCAGAGGGATTTGCGTCCCCCTGAGTTTGTCACACGTGTCAAACCATCCATTTCACGTGTCAGAAGGGACTTCAAGGGCTCAGGGGTTACTTAACAAGGAAAATCATTAAGCTTAATTAAATCACAAAATGACTGACCTGCTGCATTTCTCACGTGCCTCAAGTGTTTTCATTCTCAGCCCAGGTGAGAGCAAATACAACATATTGACCCAACTTCACATGAGCAGGGATTTGATCAGTTTATGATATTTTTATTCTTCTATTTGTCCAAGGATGTCCACTCTAAAAACTGCCAGTTATACCAATTTTAGTTATCCAGATAGCAAACCATCTCTTCCTACAATTATTGATACCAAATGAGTTGACAGCAGCTCCTCAAACACTTTTTCAATTTTCCCAGCATTTAACCCAAAACAGTTTCATTTACTGGCATTAAATCTGGGATAAAAGCATTATGTTTGAATGGTAGGATCAATTTTAAGACAGCAAGTCTATTTGCAGATTATATGGTGTTGCCCAAGCCACACACTACAGGGTGTTATGGAGCCATTAAGACAATATACAGATATTTTCTTGACCTTCTTACTCAGCAAAAAAGCCATTATACAAATGATTTTATTAACTGCCATTGTGCCATAAAAGTGCTTTGCAGTTGTTTTCTTTTCTTAACAATTGCTGGTTATAACTGTGAAAAAGGGTACTTGAGTTGCTGTCACATTTGACTTTTTATATCCATGACATAAATCATATACAGAGGAAATTCCACTTGCCACACTTTGGACAAATCTGGGATTTGAAGCTCTAAAGCTTCTATTAGGGAAGTGGATATGTATTGGCTAAGTATCATCGTTATCACTTTTATAAAATTATACAGCTGCCACAGCAATGGGATCATGACCCAGGTGGTGTCTGAGGCAGTGTTCTCATAGAAAGGTTAATATACAACTATATTATTATTCATTATGCTACATTTTATAGCCCTCAGGCACTTCTTGCTCTCGGAGACCTCCCATGTACATCAATATAAACAGCAGAAAGCCCTGAACTGAAAATGAAACCCCTCCTATTTGCTATTTTCATTGCCACCATCCTCAGCTGAGGGTGGGATTCACCTGGACACACACACAAGGAGCTCATCCCCATCCCTGAATTCTCCTGCTCACGTGGCCTTCTGGAGGCACCAGGAGCATCCTCCCACCTGAGCAGAGCCTGGCAACCCCCCATCTGCTGTGGGAACACCAGGAATGCCAAATCCACGCCAAGAGCATCCAGAGCTTCTTCCCCTGGAGGAGCTGCCGCTCCACAAAGCACTGAGAGTTTTGCCTTTCCAGGCTGACAGGGGGATAATCACCTGGGCTGCTCAGTGCAGACAATGCTCTGCTCTCCCTGAACACTCCACTCCTCGTTCACATGGCTCCTGCTGCAGGAATAATTCCTTAGAATTGCAGTCTGCAGAGTGCCAGCCAAGGGAGCAACACTGCTCACCAACCCACTGCTGAGAGGGGGAGCTGTGGCTGCTGTGCCCACCACACCACAGCCAGGCCAAACAGGAGATTCCAAAATACACCTGGAGCAGGATGTCTCTCAAACTTGTTCATCCTTTCCTGCTGCCTGGTTACTGGAAATCGGTCTTGTCAGGACCTTATCCATGAAATACTCCTTTTCCTCACACCTGAAGATGA